GTGCTCATGCTGGGACAGAAAGGTGAAGAAGTAGGGCATTTGGGGCGGGGAGGAGGAGAGAGGAGGGTTCCGGGGACAAGCCTGTGGGGTGGAGGGAGAAATTTACTCAGGATCCTACTCTCTTTCTGTGGCAGGTGTTCCTTCTAGAAACCTGAGGCAGACAGTCTGGGCTGTGCGGAGAAGGACCTGGGAGGTCAGACCTGGGGTAGGACGTCAGCAGGTAGGGTGGGGCTTACCTGGCGCAGTGCAGGTTGGGTAATGTGATTGACCCTGAGCTTCTCAGAACCTGGGCATGTGCTTTCGATTTTGCTTTCCAGGTACCTTGGACCCAAAAGGTGTTTGTGCAGACACAGCTGCCGAGTGGATGTGCACAGCTAAGAACAAGTGGGTCTTGTCTTTAATCTTCCAGAGGGAGATTCTAGGTAAGTTGGGAGGGTAGGAGCCCCTCCCCCATCTTCTCATCCTCACACTTTCTAAGATAAGGATATTGTCACTATTGTATAGATGAGGGAAACCGAAGTCTGAGGAGGGTGTAAATGGGCCCAAGGGCACATGTAAGCAGTGACAGAGTCCGGATTGGAACCCAGTTTTGTCTGATGTTCCTCCCTAGCCCAGTGCCCCTAAACAGTGGAGAGGGAGGGGGACCTGCTCAGGTGGGTTCACATCCTCCCTCCAGCTCAGCTGAGACCTGGACTCCCTGACACAGGAGCCAGTGACCCCAAAGGAAGAGGGGTGCCCGGGGAAGCAGAAAAGTTGGGGGATGGTAGGTGAGTAAGAGCCTCTGTTCCTTGCGGCCTGGCTGCCCTGAGGCTGATGGGACAAAGGATTTCCTTTGAGATTTCAAATCATGACATTATTTCACTCACCCTTTCAGCTTAGTGCCGGGCCTTGTGGGAAACTGAGGCCCTGAGAGGGGAATGACTGGCCCCGGGTGCCACACTGAGACCCTGAGCAGGAGGTGGGTGGGCTCTGCCTCCCTGCTCTTGGCCGGCCTCACTCATAACCGTGGGGGGATGGGCGACGTAGGAGGTGGTCCTGTGTATCTGAGCTGGAGGAGACTGAGCCCAGATCCCTGTGTCTGTACAGCAGAGACACACCTGGGAGCTGTTGCCTTATTCACACCACATCCCTCCTTAGCCTCCAGCATCAGGAGGTGTGGGCTCTACTCTGCCCCCAGGAGCTGCCTGACGCTGGGCAAGCCCCTTCCCTGAGAATGATTTGTTCCTGTGTCTCCCCATGTTTAAGAATTTGGGTTCAGTCTCTCCATGTTGATCCATAGGCTCCTGTGTGCTGTGGACAGCGAGTCACCTGTGGTTCACGTACCTACTGCACACAGTGCCCCGGCCTCTCACAGTGTTCTGCCTTGGCTGATGGTCGCCTTTGCCGTCTTTAATTGTTAAGAAGTCAAATCAGTCAAAGTTTTCCTTTATGGCTTCTGGGATTTGCGTCTTGATTAGCTATGTTTCTGCAACTCAACATGAGTTTTAACATTTCTTTCCCCACTTTTATAGTTCTCCTTTGGGTTTTACATTTAGATTCCTTTAGGATTGATTGATTTTTGAGGAAGCTTTTGTGTTTGTTTGTTTGTTTGTTTGTTTGTTTGTTTGTTTGATTGTTTGATTAGTCCTCAACAGAGGATATTTTTTCCCATTGATTTTTAGAGAGAGTGGAAGGGAGGGAGGAAGAAGGAGAGGGAGACAAACACTGACGTGTGGGATGCATCAGTGGTTCTCTCCCACATGTGCCCTGACCTGGTTCGGGGATGAACCCTGCAACCCAGATTCATGCCCTTGACTGAGAATCAAACCCTTCACCCTTCAGTGCACAGACCTGCGCCACACGGTCAGGGCTGTGGAAGCTTTTTGTTTCTTCTTCCTTCTCTTCTTCATCTGCATCTGTGTCTTCTTCCTAATGCAGGACATATTTAATGGTACCTACAGCCTTCAAGGAGCCTCTGGTGCAGGAAGCAAAGTGCCTGGCAGCAGGTAGTGAGCAGGAGTGGGTGGGGCAGGACAGAGCTGGGCCTGAGCCCCAGACCTGGGTGCCCCGCCTGGGAGAAGGCCAGCTTTGGGATGTCCTGCTCAAGGCCAGGCATCAGAATCAGATTTTCAAGTTCCTCTCTTCCTCTTTCTCCTCATATAAAAATGTGATGGCTGCAGGAAGGAAATAAATGGAACTCCAAAGCTGATAGAACTGCCAGAAGTACATTAAATCAGGGGGAAATTTGTGTGAAATCTGAGTCATAGTTTTTTCATCAAAATCAACAAGAAAACCAAATGGAGTGAAACTGGGGTTTGCTGTGTGGTTGAGTGGATGGTTGTCCTGTGTCCCCGCCATGGGACACATCAAGGCTTGAGCCATCAGTGTCAGGAGCGCAGGCGGACAATAGACCTGGCCCTGTGTTTACAGATACAAATGCTACACAGTTCAATGGTTACTGGAAGAATGTGAGTCATTATTTGTAAAGTCTTAGAGCATCCCGGGAGAGCAAAGACACGCAGGTGAGCCACCTTAGTATCAGCTATTAGTATACCGGCAAGTCCCTTGGCTCTCTGTTTCAGGCACGTCTCAGGAGGGGTGGTTGATAAATGCTGTTTTGCTTCTTAAAATAACGCCTACAGACAATCAGCATTTCCTTTCTTCCCTGGGCTCCAAAGCAAGATAGTTCAGACAGAACTGAGAGAATCCTCTCCATGGAAAGGTCTGTTTCCATCATAATTGTTCATAGAACAGAAATGATCCAGAGTGTTTTCATTATTATTGATTTGCCATCGAGAGAGACAGACAGAGAAATATTGATTGTTCCACGTAAGTATGCATTCATTGATTGTTTCTTGCATGTGCCATTCCTATGTGCATTGTATTATGGAACCCACACACTTGGCATCCTGGATCGATGCTTTAACCAACAGAACTACCCAGCCAGGGCCAGAGTGTATTCTCACAATGACGGCCATAGACATCACTGCCTTTCCTTTGCCTGCCCGTCCCATTTTGGGAAAATTTGGCCTCAACACAGAGCCCAGGATTACAGTATGGCCCCATCCCAATGGTCACCAACACAAGGTGCACACTGACACTTCCTAGGAAAGAGCCCTCTAGCGCTGTGAGACCACACTATCCAACCAAAAGGTTGGTCATCCGTGCATCCTTCAAATTGACTTGTGATCAAAAAGGGGACCGTGGATGAAAAATGGGTTCTATGTAAAGCAACCTCACAGGATGATGCGATCACAAATTCCTAGCTGGCAGGTCATGGCGGGGATCACCTCCCAGGAATATACTTCTTAGTAAAAGGTTTGTTTTCCTTAAGCAAGACCTGTCCATTGTTTCTGTGCATCTAGGTGAACACACTTTGAAATAACCACTCTCAAGAGAGAACAATCTGGCCTGACTGGTGTGACTCATGGGTTGAGTGTTGGCCCATGAATGAAAAGGTCACCAGTTCAATTCCTAAACAAGGCACATGCTCGGGTTGTGGGCTCATAACCCAGCAGAGGGCATGTAGGGGGCAGCCACTGGATGCTTCTCTCTCATCAATGTTTCTATCTCTCTCTTCCATTCCCTTCCTCTCTGTAAAGTCAATAAAAACATTTCTGGTTGTTGTTTTTTAAAGAAGAGTCCACACTCTTGTTGACTGTCCTGTAATCCAATCCCCACCTGCTTTCTCCCAACTTCATGTAACCTTCCTTACATCCCCTCCTTCATTTCAGATGCAGAGAAGAAGCTGAGTGACTGTTATTCTCCAGAGCATTTTAGATCTCATGCAGTTTGGCTCAAATAAACTTTTCCAAAAATCCTTTTAAAAAATTACAGCCTTAAAAAGGAAGGGCATTCTGGCCCATGTTCCAACAGGCATGACCCTTGGGGACACTATGCTGAGTGAAATAAAGCCGTCTCAGGACAGTAAACATTGTGTGATTCCACTTAAATGAAGCTCTCGAATCCGTGGAGATGGGAAGTAGAGAGGCAGTTTCCAGGGGCTGGGAGTTGGGATGGGGAGTTATTGTTTAGTGGGTATTGAGTTTCTGTTTTATAAGATGAAGAGAGCTCTGGAGGCTGGTTGCACAACAGTGTCAATATAATTTAACACCATTGAACTGTATCCTTTAAAATGGTTAAGGTGGTAAATTATATGTTGTGCATTTTTTAGCATAATAAAAGAATTTTTAAAAGAATGATGTGTGTGTATGTTTAAAAAGTACTATGAACTGGAAGATGGAAAAGATGGACACCTCATATCCTGTGAGCATTAATGTAAATTGGTGCAATTTGTTTGCATTAGAGTGTGGCTCTAGGCATAAAGGAATTTTATATGGTGATTCCCTCTGTCCCAGTCATTCTATTTATTAAATATCTTAAGGGAGGCAATCTCAAATGCAGACAAAGTTTTATGCCTGAAGGATGTTTTTGCACTATTTTCATAAAGAACTAGAAACAAGCTAAGGTCCACTGATGGGTGTGGGCAGCAGAGAGACCGGGCAGCATCAGGAGGGCTGGCAGCCCACAGCAGATCTGCAGGGATGGGGCCAGGGCCGCAAGACCCCAGGGCCTTAGGGGATTGAGGGTGTTATAAGCAAGAAGGGTGCAGACTTGGGAGCTACAGCCCCAGGAATTTATCAACACAAGAGACTTGGCATAGGGTGCAAGACATCGTTTGGGAATGAGAAGAGTCATTTACAAGTAACACAGACGCATTAATAAACGTTTTTGTATATAAAAGAGAGTAGAACATAGTCCTCACAAACACGGGATTGGGATCAGGAAGACTTGGGCTGGAGTCCTAGCTCTAGCCCTACTGTGAGACTGGGACTAACCCCAGTTTAGGTGAAAACCTAGACTTTGTCATGGTTTCCTCCACGTTCCAATGGGAGCCACCATGGCGCCCACCACGTGGAATGTGTGAGAGAATTTGGTGAGGGAACTCGTAAGGAGCCTGTGGTAGACACACCATCAATATTAGCTGAGTGATTAGTCAACACAAATGTCCCCAACCTCAAACCATTTCCAAAACATTCCTTCCCATCTTTTGTGTCTGGTGTTACTGCTTCTTTGGTTTTATGACTCCTCAGCTGTCTGTTTCTTTGTCTGAGGATCTTCTCCTTGTGTCCCCACAGGACAAGGGGACTGTCACTTGGCTTGGAGTGGGCTGGAGTGAGGCGAGTACCTTCTCTTAACTAGCAGCTGGCAGAGCCCAGCAGACAGGGAAACACAGTGCATTGAGTCCATCTGGCACTTGCTTCCTTCCCTGAAAGAAACACCAGAGACGGAGCCCCTCGCTGCTCCCTGTTGCTCAGCTGGCTCACCTTCGACCCCACTATTTGTTTTCTCTTCCCCAAGGGTGAAGCAACACCTCCTTCCAGCTGGACACAGACTGGTGAGCTGAAGGGGAAACTCTGAGATCCCACTGTTGACACCATGACCTCAGAAGCTGCCGGGATCTGCCCAGGTAGTCAGCCTCCTCCTCTCCAGCTGGTTCCTGCTCATGATCTAGAATTGAGGGAGGTGCCTCCAAGCTGGGTTAAGCTATACAGGAATCAAGAACCTCCAAGGGGATTGATGAGTGTCCCTGAGCCCCCAAGAGGGGCCAAGGGAAGTCCCCTCAACCAGGAGTCTGTGGGAGGGCCTCCTTCCTGGCTCTCTCCTCAGGCTGCTCACTGCCTCCCATCTTCTGCAACTCATGCAATGTCTCCAATGAGGCCAGGACAGCCCATGGGAGGTGGGAATTTCTTGTCCCCTGTACCTGGAACCTGCTAGTTCCTGGTGGAAATCTTCCCCTCCAGAGAACTGCCACCTCCCACAGCTGTGCTGGGTCCCTGACCTGTGCCCCAATTATAAACACCTGAGTACCAAGGTGTGACTATCTCAGTCACACCCTGCAGAGGCCTGCTTTGTTATTCGCCACACCCACACCTACCACATTCAAGAAATACACCCATTTAGTGCTCTGGGTTTCCTTCATCTAAGCCCTGGTTTCCTTTTTCCCTCAGTGTGTGAAGCAAAAAAGGAAAAAACAACCCTCCCCCCACCAAAATCCACACTGCATTTTCTAGGCAACCAAAGCACCCCCCAGAAGATAAACTTGTTCCTGTTGCAGCACAAGGGAGGAGAGGACAGATCAGTAGGCTCCATCTACTGAGCAGTCTCTCAGGTCCCGGAGGGAGGCTGGAGCTGGTGGATTCCTGAGGATAAACAAGATGCCCTCTTGTTTAAGGAGTGGGCGAGGGTGGGGTCAGAAGTGCCCACAGGGAGCTGTGGCCCCTGAGACCAGCCTGGAGGGGGGAGAGCTGATACTGATTGATCACAGGATTAGAGCTGAGGCTCCAACCCCCACCCACCTGAACACACCCCCTCCACTGCCCACCTTGGAGCACCTGTGAGAAGCAGGAGGAATCCTCTTTGCTGGTAGTTTTACTTCATCAGTGGCGTGTGATCTGAAACATTATTTTCAAATTTTAAAAAAATCCCATAGGTGAACTCTAGGGTAGAACACAGAAATCACATGAATTTTTGAACTACAAGGAGGCTTCAAACTAATGTACAGAAATGTCTGACGGGTGACCTTGGATGCCACCTGTGAGCTTTCTGCTTCTTGGCTTGGGTCTTCTTTTCCTGTCTGAGTTTCACCTTCTTTGTCTGTGAAATAAGAATAATATGTCTAGTGTGTATCTGGCAGGAAACATTTCCATCCTGTCTCTACACACACAAAACATACACCAACCCCCAGTCCCTCATTTGAATTTCCATGGTCTCCAAATCCCTGAGAGTCACACAATTTTTAAAAGATTTATAAAAGTTATTGATTTATACAGAGAGAAAGAGAGAGAAATAGAAAGAAGGGAGGGAGGGAGAGATATGGTGTCTCTGCCCCTTCTCATAAGGACACCATTCATATTGGCTTAGGTCTTACACTTATGACCTCATTTAACCTTAATTATAAAATACAGTCACTTGGGGCCTGGCCATTGTGGCTCAGTGGTTGAGTGTTGACCCATGAACCAAAAGGTCACTGGTTCAATTCCCAGTCAGGGCACATGCCTCGCTTTCGGGCTCGACCTCCAGTAGTGGGCATGCAGGAGGCAACTGATTGATTCTTCTTTCATATAAATGTTTCTATCTCTATACTTATCCCTTCCTCTCTCTCTAAAAATCAATAAAAGCATGTTAAAAAATAAATAAGCACCAGCCGCTTTGGCTCAGTAGATAGAGTGTCGGCCTGCGGACTGAAGGGTCCCAGGTTCGATTCCGGACAAGGGCACATGCCCGGGTTGTGGGCTTGATCCCCAGTGTGGGGTCAGCCAGTCAGGATTCCCTCTCATCATTGATGTTTCTATCTCTCTCTCCCTCTCCCTTCCTGTCTGAAATCAATAAAAATATATTTTAAAAAATAAATGAATAAGTACAGTCACAAGGGGTGTCAGACATGCAATATATAAATTTGGGGGGGGGCAGGTCAGTCCATAACACCAGCTGAGTCACCAAAAGTTCCCAAGATCTTTTTAAAAACTCCCCCACATGATAGCTGCTCAGGAAGATGAACATTTAATCACCTTGTTTATACTCAATTCCATTAGATTTCTTCTAACCTTATTCTTTTTTTCTTTCCATCTAGAGGGCAAAGACTTTGTTGATGTCATTGAGTATTTAATGGACCCAAGGAACAAAGAGAAACTTCAACGCCTGCTGAGTGATGAAGCCTGGAAAAGATTTGTGACTGGGGCCAAGTTGTCCAGGTAACTTCCCGGGGATGCCTGTATGGTCACCCCATCTCCCCTGCATCTAGATTCCTCTGGCAGGCACACTCCTCCAGGCAGGGTTCTGAGCATGGGGTTGAAGAAGTTCCTTTTCAACAGTCCATGAGGAACATTTCCTTCATATCATTCCTTGCAGAGAAGGGGCTCGGGTTGAGAAGAGATGAGACCTGCAGGGGGAGGGTTAGGTGACCTTGGGCTCCTTACTTAACCACTCTCTGTCTTACTCATCTGTTCTATTTCATTGTGAGGAAAATAAGACAATACATGTGAACTGTTTAGCCTAATGACTGACACATAGTAGGTGGACACTTGACATGAACTTTTAAAGATGCTGGGAATAGACAGGGCCCAAGGGTCTTCCTGTTGGACGTGAGAGCCACACAGGACTTCCTGTGGGACAAGCCAGGAAAATCCTGGCACAGTTTGTGGCCCTGGGGATTGTGGCTAGAGAGCCTGCTCTCCCTAAGAAAGGGATTGTACAGACTCTGCAGGGTCCTGCTGGCCTGGAAGGCGGAGAGCTGGAGAGAAGCGGCACTGTGTTGGGTTGAATCCTGAGTGTATCTCTGCCCGGCTCTGGGGCTCTGGGCTTATGTCATCTCCCTCTTCAATGGAATAGCAAGTCCATCTGATAGGACTATGGTGAAGGCCTTGGGGTGAACTGCAAGGCAAGGGTGAAGCAGCAAGTGTAGTCATCCTGTCTGGAGGCCCAGAGAGGCCTGGGGCAGGGTCAGAGCCGGCATCTGGATGGAGCAAGGGTAGTTCAGGTGGGAGGATGGTAGGAAAGCTTGGCAGCGAGGCTGGACTAGAATGAGGCAGCTGAGGCATCTGGGCACAGGACTGAGGAGGCCAGGGGTCTAGTGGAGGGCCGTGCGGGGGGGAGGGAGGCACTGAGGGGGGCACATTTCTTCCTTCCCTGATTTGATTCCCTCACTGCTGGGGGTAGAGGGCCCTGGGTAATTATGTCCTCCAACCCTGTCTGGGAGCTGGAGGGCTCCTGACTCCATTTGGGACCCTCTTCTCTTCTCCATGGAGTAACCCTGACCAGAGGTCATCTGAGGGATTCTGGGTAGACCCACACGTTCCCACCATAGAGGACAGGGCTTCCCGCACCAGCTCATCCAACCCAGGCCTTAGTGATTCATACACCTGCCTTGGTTAATCCCCTGTCTTTAATTATTACAGGGATGAGGCAGATTCACTCTATGCAGACTTGAGCGAGCTGAAAACACTCATGGCCGTGGAGGACAAAGATATGCCCTCAGCAGACCAGCTGCATCGGGAGAGCTTTATGAAGGAGTTTGCTCAGGTGAAACAGGACCTTGAGGAACGCATACGAAAGCTCTACGCACTTGCGGATGAGGTGGACAAGGTGCACAGGGACTGCACCATCTCCAAAGTGGCGGCCTCTTCCGCGGGCGCTGTGTCTGGCATTCTGACCATCGCTGGCCTGGCTCTGGCACCTGTGACAGCAGTTGCTACTCTGGTCCTTTCAGCAACTGGGTTGGGACTGGGGGCAGCAGCTGCTGTGACTGGTGTGACTGCCAGCATTGTGGAAGCCTCAAAGAACGCGTCAGCAAAAGCCGAAGCCAGCCGCCTGTTGTCAACCGGCAATGACACAGAGAAGCTGGTCGGGGAGGTTCTACGTTGCAGCACACCCAAAATTGCTTCCTTAGCACCGAAGTGCTTCCAATCCCTGCAAGACATTGTGAAGAATGCCCGTGCCTTCAAGCTGGCCAAAGCCAATCCGGACTTAGCAGCAAAGGCCATGCGCTTCTTGCGCATGGAGACAGTCTCAGCCCGAAGCGCCAAGCAGCTGCAGAAAACTTTTGGAGGCACTGCTCTGGCCATGAGCAAAGAAGCCAGGGTCTTTGGTGCAGCCACGGCAGGTATATTTCTTCTCATGGATGTAATTCAGCTAGTGAAAGAGTCAGTGCACTTACATGAGGGCGCAAAGGCTCAGTCGGCGGAAGAGTTGAGGCAGCAGGCCCAGGAGCTGGAGAGGAAATTGGAAGAACTCACCCACATTCACACAAGTCTACAGGAGGACCTGACTCCATGATCCCCAGACAGTGCAGGGAGCAGGGTGTGTGGGAGACAAAGGCGTGGACTTACCTTGTTAGAGGGGGAAAGCCAGCGAGATAAAATGGATGGAACTGTGTGTTAAGAAGTTTGGTATTTCTATAGCTGAGCACAGCAAAGGAGGGGTTCATGCAGATGGCTGGTGGGCCAAAGAGAAGGAAGGAACCTGGAGCCTGGAATCAGGGAAGAGAGGGGGAAAGAGAGTGGGGGTGGGGGTGGGGGGGGGACTTTATTTTGACTAAAAAGACATTGGGGTCATGAATAAAGAAAGAGAAGTGGAGGAATAAGCACCGAGTAGGCTCTGACTACCAAAAAGTTGACAATG